AGTGTGTCTTTGTTTTTGGTTTGAAGTGTATGTCTTGTTTTTGGTTTGAAGTGTATGTCTTTGTTTTTGGTTTGAAGTGTATGTCTTTGTTTTTGGTTTGAAGTGTATGTCTTTGTTTTTGGTTTGAAGTGTATGTCTGTGTTTTTGGTTTGAAGTGTGTCTTTGTTTTGGTTTGAAGTGTATGTCTTTTGTTTTCGGTTTGAGTGTATGTCTTTGTGTATGTCTTTTTTTTGGTTTGAAGTGTATATCTTTGTTTTCGTTTGAAGTGTATGTCTTTGTTTTCGGTTTGAAGTGTATGTCTTTGTTTTCGGTTTGAAGTGTATTACTTTGTTTTTTTGGTTTGAAATGCAACTGTTTTTGGTTTGAAGTGTATGTCTTTATTTTTGGTTTGAAGTGTATGTCTTTGTTTTTGGTTTTGAAGTGTATGTCTTTATTTGGTTTGAAGTGTATGTCTTGTTTTTGGTTTGAAGTGTGTCTTTGTTTTGGTTTGGAGTGTATATCTTTGTTTTCGGTTTGAAGTGTATGTCTTTTATTTTTGGTTTGAAGTGTATGTCTTTGTTTTGGTTTGAAATGCTGTTTTTGGTTTGAAGTGTATGTCTTTGTTTTTGGTTTGAAGTGTATGTCTTTGTTTTTGGTTTGAAGTGTATGTCTTTGTTTTTGGTTTGAAGTGCTTTGTTTCGTTTGAAGTGATTCTTTGTTTTGGTTTGAAGTGTATGTCTGTGTTTTTGGTTTGGTGTGTCTTTGTTTTCGGTTTGAAGTGTATGTCTTTGAAGTGTATTTCTTTGTTTTTTTTGAAGTGTATATCTTTATTTTTTTGAAGTGTATGTCTTTTTTTTGGTTTGAGTGTTTGTCTTTTTTGGTTTGAAGTGTATGTCTTGTTTTTGTTTTGAAGTGTATGTCTTTGTTTTGGTTTTGAAAGTGTATGTTCTTTGTTTTGTTTGAAGTGTTATGTCTTTGTTTTTTGGGTTTGAAGTGTATGTCTTGTTTTTGGTTTAAGTGTATTACTTTTTTTCGGATTGAAGTGTATGTCTGTTTTTTTGGTTTGAAGTGTATGTCTTTGTTTTTGGTTTGAAGTGTATGTCTGTGTTTTTAGTTTGAAGTGTATGTCTTTGTTTTCGGTTTGAAGTGTATGTCTTTGTTTTTGGTTTGAAGTGTATGTCTTTGTTTTTGGTTTGAAGTGTACGTCTTTGTTTCGGTATGAAGTGTATGTCTTTGTTTTTGTTTGAAGTGTATATCTTTGTTTTGGTTTGAAGTGTATGTCTTTGTTTTTGGTTTGAAGGATATGTCTTTGTTTTTGGTTTGAAGTGTACGTCTTTGTTTTGGTTATAGTGTTTGACTTGTTTTGGTTTGAAGTGTATGTCTTTGTTTTTGGTTTGAAGTGTATATCTTTGTTTTTGGTTTGAAGTGTATGTCTTTGTTTTTGGTTTGAAGTGTAAGTCTTTGTTTTTGGTTTATAGTGTTTGTCTTTGTTTTTGGTTTGAAGTGTATGTCTTTGTTTTTGGTTTGAAGTGTATCTTTGTTGCGAGCGAGGTGTGCAGAGCTACCAACAAATAAGCTCAGACTTTTGGCAACATGTTTATAACTTCTTGAATAATCGTTAACATATGCAATCGGTCCATTCTTTTGTCATTGTATATATTTTAAACTTATATACACTTTTTTTTACACGAGATACCAATTTAGACATTGATTACTAACTCTAATCAACGCCGAAGTCGTGGCTCTGGCTTCGAATACGAACAATTTGCCGTAAAGGTGGTAACGATGTACATACGTAGGTCCTTATGTGTGTTCGTGTGTGTGTGTTGAAGAAAACATTGTGAACACAATCATATACTTAAGGGTGTATGCATGTGTACATATATGAGCGTGTGTTTGTGTATATATATGTATCAGTGTGTAAACAAATGCATATATATATATATATATATATATATATATATATATATATATATATATATATATATATATATATATATATAAGCATACGTGTGTGTGTGCATTAATATATATATGTATATGCACAGACACACTGATTTGTATATACACATGCATATAGATAGTTAAATGACCCTGTAATTGTCCTTCTCTCAGACTGAGATGGATGCGGCAGATGGGCGTCATTCACAACTACTACAACAACTACTTCGGCATCAGATGCTTCCAGAGTTCAAACCGCAAGAGTGAAAAAAGGGCAATGAAACTAGATCAGGTAAGATAGTGGACGAAAAGCATATTAAATGATGATTTTATGCATTGACGGAACTTTAAAAATCCTTGTTTCTAAGGGAAAAGAAAAGAGAAAAAAAAATGTTGAATTTTTCCAGTATTGTAATGAAAGTAGTTGATATTGCAAGTTGTTAATGAGTTGAGTTATACATACAGAATCTAGAGTGGAAATACTAATATTTTTTCCTTGTTGCATGCAGCTACTTGGAGTCTTTTACGTCTGGTTTGCTGGAATTCTTATTGCATTCATTGTCTTTATCATGG